CAAGTCTGGTTCTCAAAGTGGGGCCCCGGGACCCAGGGTCACCCGGGAACCTGTTAGAAACACAAATTTTCAGGCCCTAAACTTCAGTTCTTCTGCATAGAAACTCTGGAGGGTGAGCACAGCAATCTGTGTTTTAACAAGCCATTTAGGCACTTCTGATGAAACTTCCAAGTTTGAGAACTACGGTTCTAGATAAGTTCAGGCCTGGTACCAGATACTGTGTCGAAACAGCCCAGGCTCTGAGCACAAAAGGCAATGACCGTGCTGAAGGTGCTGGTGCTGGGTTAACACACCTCCTCAGCCCCACCTCCCTCTCAGCCCTCAGGCGTCTGGAGGCTGCAGAGCTGGGGGACGGGCGGGATGGACCACTGCTGGAGTAAACCCATCCTGGCTTCTTGGACATGGCTCGAAAGACCACACCATATTGTGTGATGCTAAACCTGGGATCTTAGGACAGAGATCAGACATATAAGGGCAGGATGATTCCAGAACCCTAGCAAGCCCTTCCTGAGGGGATGCAAGATTTAAACTTCAGGCAGAGGAATGAAAAGAAACATTGAGGTAGGAATAAAGCAGAGACAAGGTAAATCCAAAGGAGGAGGAAACCAAGAAAAGTGTGGTCCCCTTGGGCAGATGGATCAGTCTTTAACCAGGTACCTTCCAGGAAGAAACGCTTCATAATTAGATTACTGTCAAAATGAAAAAGCCCCACATTGACTCAAGATGCAGCTGAGCCGGCACTTGGGGAAATTCGATCTGGGTAAAAACACTGAGGCCCCCAGCAGGCTCCCTGCAGCAAGGCTTTCCTGACAGAGAAGTGACTGTTTGCAGGGCATCCAGCAGTTTAGGAAATCTTGGCACCTGGCAAATTCAAGCAGGAGTTTGTACAGAAAATCTGACAAGAAAAACAAGGTTTTAGCAAAAACCAGAGACAGGCAGATGGAAGAAATCATGGTAAATATGCCACTTCAAATTTTCCCCTCTTCTAGAAACAGTTGTTTATACTGTCATTCTAACAGTAAATACTATTACAGAGATGTTCTGATTTAGTTAAGACATCATATTTCAGGTTACATGTCTCATCTAATAGTTAGCTTTAGTCATTCATTAAGTATTCATTGAGCATCCGCCATGTGGCAGTCATTGTTCTAGGTGCTGGGTTTACAGGGGTAAACAGACGAAAAATCCCTGCCCTCACAGAGTCTGCATTCTAATGAACAGCAGGAAAGGTAACACACAAAACAAGCGAAATGTGTAACACTTTGGGTTCTTCCTCTCCAGCTTGCCCCTCATCAATTGTTTTCATTCTGAATTTTCAAAGAAGAGTGACCTTGTTGAGGCTTCGGGTTGGGAAAGCTGGCTCAGGCAGGGCTTCTTAACTATTCATAAGCAATGGAACCACCCAGAGACGTTGTTCAAATGTGGGTTTAACTGGAGGCCTGGAGAAGAGCTCCCGGGTGCTAATGCTGCAGGCCCCGGGTGCAGACCACGTGCTAAGGAGCTCCCTTGGAAGTCAGGCTGTGGGGACAGAGTCCCCCTCGTGCCCAGTCGGCCCAGGATGCCGACTCCCAGCCAGGCCAGCCTCACGGCCACTCCCTGCAGCAGCTCCAGCTCCAGCTCTGGACCTCGTTGGACCAACTAATGCTGGCTAGTTCACCGAGCGCTTTTCTTTCCTGATTCCCACAGCGTCTTCTTCTGGGCGGCTGGGCAGTCAGGAACACGGCTGCTGCTGTTTATCGGCCTTCTTTAGGGTGAGGGAACAGCACCCACCCCAGAGAGGTTGTGCTGGTGGCAAAGCTGAGGGCAGACTGCCTTCTCCGTGTGGAGGGCTCTCTGCCCAGCCCAGAGCAGGCGAGGGCCCTCAGAGGGAGATGCTGCAGGCCTGTGAAGAAGCCAGCTCAGCGCGAGCCCCCAGAGTCACAGAACACTAGGTGTCTATGGGGCTCAAGGGCCTTTAGCCTAAACAGGTCTAGCTGCTGCAGGCCACAGTTTTGGCCTTCACTGAATTGGCTCTAGGGTGGGTTTCCAGTTTCCTGTTTTGTCTTCCCCTGCGATGATGTGAATTTCGCAGGAAGCAATCTGAGAGCAGCTGTTAGGAATATTCAGCCTTCCAGGTGGCTTGCCACAGCCCTGTGGAAACAGCCACGTGAATATGGGCAACTGGGGCGGCAGGAGAAAGGACCATACCCTTCCTTTCAGGCTGGGAGCCATGAGGAACTGTTCATTCTCATTTTGTAGGGTGTTTTGGAAAGATGATCAGAGAGGGAATAGGCACACTACAGCTATTTCCTTATGTCAAGTTGGGAGATGTCAGTAAAGAGAGGTTATTCAGCCAATCAAAAGGCATGCAGGCCGCTTTTTCTGTAAATCATCATCCAGAATGGCAAACATTATTTTGTGGCCTATAAGAAATGATACTGTACTAACATGGAATCATTTCATGATGGCCCTAGAATAATAGACAACTGGAGATCTCCTTGGTGGAAAAGAACATGACTGAGAGGCTCTGGGCAGACACATTCCTTTAGGGTGGGTGAAGGCAAAAGTCAGGCAGAGGGGTCTCCCCTGGGGAACCCGGCTCGCGGAGTTAAGTGTGGTATGTTTGCAGCAGCCTAAGTGGCCGAGACTCAGGAAGGCTGTCCAGCCACAGGGACAGGGCTGAGGTGCCAAGAGCAGAATTTTCCAAAACTGGAGCCAAGGTCAATTGTAACAATGGCCAAGAGAGGAAAAGAGCGGCCCAGAGGGGCAGGCAGCTGGCTTCTCAGAGGATGAAAACAGGCAAAGCCTCTAGAAAGAAGGCAGGACTACGGACGTGGTTACCCTGGAGAACAGTTCAGGATGTGCAGCACAAAGGAAACCCGATAGGGTACTGTTCACAACGTGGCTGGCTGACAGGACTCTGGAGAATGGAAAGGGAATTAAAAATTTCTCACCAACTACCTTCAGACTCCACCCCTAACTTGCTTTTTGTACCAGAAAACAAGTCAACTTTGTTTCTAATGACATGGAGAAAGGAAAAGGCGGGGAGGGAGAAAGAAGGAAGGAAGAGGGAGGGTGAGGGGATAAGAATGGATACATCGTAAGTAAGAGGAGAAGGAAAACCACCTGCGAGCTGGGATGGATTCTTCCAAACCCTGTACCTGAGCCCCACTCCACAGGACGCTTGCCACTGTCGGGGTGCAGAATCGAGGACAGGAGTGTGAAAATCTAAGGCCTATTCATAACAATCTAGCTTGTGTGCCCTCCTGAAAAGTTAAAAAGGCAGAAAACTAGTTTTTATCTGTAAGAAAATGTTTATTCTTTTGAACCCCACAGGAAAAAAATAAGAATGCAGCCAAGACCAAGTATTTAACCAAAGTAGTGTCCCAAAAGGCAGCAAAATGGGGGAAACCTCAACACAAAGTCAGTAACAATTTTCCATGTTTTTGCACAAAGATGAAAAAAACCTATGACAATTCCAAGTAACACTTTCATGGTGACAATTACACAAGATGATTCAAAAATGCAAGATGGCAGCGACATGCACACCTGGCTAAAGCTAGAAGTTTTTAATCCCAAAATAAGGTCTGTGATTGAAAGGATGATTCTTTTTAATACTTCTATTTTGCTGACTTGCTTGTCCTACTTAAATTTGTTTTAAATGAGACGTACATGCCAATTAACAGGAGATTGTAGAACTATGTCCTTCCAGAATCCATGGCAAGGAAGCCAAGCCAATCTGTTTGGTTTCTGAATTTTCCTAGTTTCCAAATACAGTTTTGCTTTTCCCCTCCCTCTCCCAGACCCTCCCTCCACCCCCACCCGGATTCTTAAAACACTTCCGAAGGTTGCCAGTGCAAACACTTTTCTACCAATGTATAATACACACTTGAAACCGAAATCTTTGTGCAGAATTTTGAGTTTTAAACTCTTAAAAACAAACAAACAAAAAAAACACCCCTCCTTGGCACAAGAGCTGAGGAATTGTCAAGTTTCCTTTAAATCGTCAAACACAAGATGACGAAGACTGGAGAGCACAGTTAAAGGAAATCAAAACAGAAACAAAACCTAGAACTGCAGCTTTTGTTAGCCAGCACTGCAGTCTCTCGAACACAACCACCACCCAGCTCCCCCTCCCAGAGTGCCTGCCTCGAGCCCAGTTCAGAACACTGTGGTGCTTTCTATGAAAGGAGACAGAAGGTGCGGCTGTGGCGGCAACAAACAGCCCAGCTACCCACCAGTGTTACAGCAGGATCCGTAGTGAGCTTGATAGAGAGAGAAGATAGATGATGGTCAAGGGGGAAATCGTTTAAAATCAAGTTTCCTCTTGAATGTCTTTTCCCAAGGCACTGTGAACAAGACTGCTGCTAGCTATTTTCCAGGACTGAACACGCCGATGGGAATATACACATTTGAGACACAAACCCTGTGACACTCTCACAGCTGGTCTCATCACCTGAGTCTCTCCCCTCGGCTGAAATGATACTCCTTGAATTTGTTTGGTCCTTAGAGGGGTCATCAATTTTTGTTTTCTGTAATATCTTCAATGCAGCTATGGGATCAAAGCTGTGTTAGGTTATTGAACCTTTTCACACTAAAAACTAAAATTTTTCATTATCATCCCATGTGAACGCAATGTGCAGGTTTTGCTTGCTGATTTAAGAACAAAACAAAAATAAAGGGCTGAGAAGCAAAAACTCTGCTTTTTTTTTTTTCTTCAAGAGGAAACTGTAAGAATACATAAAAGGCAAAATTGGCTACTTGAAATCCAAGAATGGTTTTAATGTATTGGCCGAGAAAAATAAACTGCAAAGTTCTGTGAGGTCTTCTAAAAATTTACAAGAAAAACTGATGGGCAGTTCTAATCAGACTTGGATGTTATCTTTCCCCCCTTTTTAAAAACGACAACATATACAGTCCCACAAAATATCAACTTTTTTTTTTTAATCTTGACTGCCAGAGACGCTCCTTTGTGACGCCTTCTGATAACCAAATGGCTGAACGAAACACACTGCTGGCCTTCATTTCTTCAGGGGCTGGTAAACAGAGGCATTGGGATCGAGTCCAGAGGGGCTGGTCTCCACAAATTTGGAAGAGTAGTGGGGGGAAACGGGGCTCAGGGGGCTGGTGGCAGCACTGTATGTTATGCTGGGCATGACGGCCATGACTTCAGCTATCTTCTGTTTTAGGTCCTTGATTTCCTGGTCTTTCTGAAGAATTTGTCCTGGAAGATCAAAGGCCCACCATTAGTGAGAAGGAAGGGTTCACCCAACACAGTGCCCTTTTGGGCCCGTCAATCCCAAGTGGGTTCAACTCCAGCTTTGATGGCTTGCAAGGGGAGACACTTTTCCTGTAATGGGCCAGTAAATATTTTAAACACTGTGAGCCACATACTGTTCTCATCATTTTTTTTAAGACCATAGTAAAATGTAAAAACTATTCACAGTCCACTAGTGGTACAAGAAAAGCTGGCAGGCCAGATGTGGCCCATGGGCCATGGTGTGCAAGGGGAAAGCAACTGTGTTTAGGCAGGTGTGATGAAGCAAAGAGCTCGCGCACCAGAAGCCACGTGCTGGGCTCAGCAGCAGCAAGGCGGCCTAAGAGGGGCTGCTCTCGACCTGCGGCCCTGCCTCTGCAGCGGAAACACTGCTCTGGGAGGACGGAGCATCTGAGTCAGGGCAGCCAACGCAACCGGCTCCCACGGGCTGCACGGCCGCTTCTCTACCTGCGCTTCTCTTGTGCTCTGTGTTGTTAACTCAGGAGGCTTCTGTTTCTACTTCCTCACAAAGCTGTCCCTGCTCCTTCCATCTAAATTAGACCCTACCCCCAGCCCCCAACTCCTCGATTCTCAACACACCCTAATCTTCCCTTTCTGTCACTTTCTTCTGTGTAATAATTCTAATAATCACTATAGCTAATGCATATGTGCCAGGCACTGTTCTACCTGCTTACACAGACAAATTCATTTACTTATCAAAACAACCCTCTAAGCTGGGAATTATCATCATCATCCATTTTATAGATGAGGAAACCGGAGCACAGAGAGGTGGAGTGACAGAGCTGGAATTGAACATGATGCAGTTTGGCTTCAGATTCTGCAATTCTGTCTCTTATGAGTGTTGAAATGGGCAATGGTTAGTGCCCCACTGGAGAAGGCAATGGCACCCCACTCCAGTATTCTTGCCTGGAAAATCCCATGGACGGAGGAGCCTGGTAGATTGCGGTGCATGGGGTCTCCAAGAGTCGGACATGACTGAGCAACTTCACTTTCACTTTTCATTTTCATGCACTGGAGAAGGAAATGGCAACCCACTCCAGTGCTCTTGCCTGGAGAATCCCAGGGATGGGGGAGCCTGGCGGGCTGCCATCTATGGGGTCACACAGAGTAGGACACGACTGAAGTGACTTAGCAGCAGCAGCAGTAGTGCCCCATATCTCTCCCCTAACCCACAAGCTCTGTGAGGGCCAAGACTGTCCCCCCTTTTTCATCTCTGCCAAAACCTTAGTGCCCAGCTCAGTGCAAAGCTGAGACCCTGCAAGGCATATATCCTACACCAAAGTCATTCAGTTATCAATGGCTGAGCAGGATTTAAACCCAGGACCACTTGGTTCCAAAGCCCATGCAATCTCCATCATGCTTTGATGCTCCCTGGTCCACTAGGGGAAGAACACTTAGGAGGAGCCCTTTTGAAATTTAAATGCTGAAAAAAGTAAGAGGTTGCATTTGAATTGCACTCACTTTGAGTCCTACAGAAGATGGTAATGTATCTGAAATGTAAGAGAGCGTGGTGGCAGATTTTAAAAAATGATATAGTAGAGATGAAAGCCATTTTGGAACCAGGATGAATCAAATGATAGAGAAAGCAGAAGGAGAAAGGCAACAAGGGGTTTGATTTAAATTACAAAGTTGGGTTCCTATTAGAATATTCCAAGCATGACAGAAGAGAGAAGTAGTAGGGAAGGCAGAGACAAAGAGCCACAGAAAGGAACTGCTCCCCACGGCTTCCTTCCCATCCCCTCAGCTTCAAGTGAGCATCAAATACCCTCCTTCTCTTTGAACAAAGAAAGCCTCAGATGAATAAAATACCTAATGGCATCTGATATATGAGCCACTGTATCTTCTTTTCCATGCAGATTTAAGTTTGGTTTCTTTAATCAGTAACATATAAACATTCCCAGAGCTTTGGAAAAGACAGTTCTCTCTGCTTCTCTGTGGCTTTACAGGAATTTCTGGGCCAACAAGGAAGTATAATCTGTGCTGAGAAGCCAAGCTCCCCTAGGCTACTCTGAGACCAGGTGCTGCTTCCCTCCAGGAGGCAACCTCTTTTGAGTCTGCAAGTCCAAGCAAACGGGAAGAGGCAGAGAGAGGGTGGCCACTTAGGGAGCTGAGCCAGGCAGGCAGAAAAAAACAGTGTGTGCTCAGAAGTCTGACTCTAAAGCAGGATTCCCAGGAAGCTTCTTTTTAAATGTCTTTCCTTGAGTCTGCAGATTCATAAACCTGATTCTCAACCCCTTCTCTTCCTGCTCTGTTGCTGCCATCCCAAGCCACTCCTATGGCTTCACTGACCTTACACAACTTCTGTATCCCACCCAACCCCAAGGGTTCTGGCCCTCTCTCTGGGTGTAGGCCCCAAATTCTCACTGACTGCTGAAGACCTTCAGCTCAGTGTCTGGGAGGCAGCTCCAGATGAAAGCATCCCAAACTAAACTCACTTTCTCTTCTCATTCCTTAAATCTGTTCCGCTCTTCTTCCAAGGATTTAGCAGCCCTGTTGGAACACATCACCCTCTTCCCTCCTGAAAATTCAGGAGTTACATCCTCTAGTATTGTTTCACTCACTGTCCTCCTTCCTAACCCACTCTCTTCTTCCACATCCCCCAACTAGAGGCCACTGGACTGCTTCCCTGGACGTTCTCAGCACTTTCTTTCCTTCGCTTACACTGTTCCCTCAGATAAGAATGGTCTTCCCTGCCATCCTCTGCTTTCAGAATTCACCCTTCTAGGTCATGTACCCACTGCTATATTCAAAATGGATAAACAACAAGGAGGACCTACTGTATAGCACGTGGAGCTCTACTCAGTTCTATGTGTGAGCCTGGATGGGAGGAGCATTTGGGGGAGAATGGATATATGTATATGTGTGGCTGAGTCCCTTCACTGTCCACCTGACACTACCACAGCATTATTAACTGGCTATACTCCAATACAAGATAAAACATTTGAAGTATGAAAAAAAAAAAGAATTCGCCCTTCAAAGTCCAGCCAGCGGCCCCGCCCTTAGGAAGCCAGCTTGACGTCTCCTCAGGCCGCTCAGGCCGCCGGCCTCCACTGTGTGGTGGCAGCCTATGTGTGGCCTTCCCTGGCGTGGCACTTCTCACAGCGTCCTCACCATCTTCACCCGAGTACTAAGACATTATCTGCCTTCTTCACGCTCATTTCCTCACGGAACTAAGTGAAGTCTTTCAGAAGCAACATGGCAAATGAAAGCACAACAGACTGAATGTAGAAATACATTTGAAAAACACCTCCCTGGATCACTCAATTTTAACACTTTATTGACCGGAGACATAGTAACACCATAGGCATTAGTTCCTGCAAAAATCCCCTGGTCAATAATGTGTCAAGAGTGTAAAGAAGTCCCTAAGACCAAAAAGTCTGAGTGCCACTACCTTAGTGGATCCTCAACTAGAGTATGTCTTGTTTATCTTGTCACCTCTTCACCTTCTAGTAAAACGGTTTATGTAGATCAAGTGTGAATGCTCTGCAAGTACCTGTTGAGATATTCTTTTCCTTCTACTAAGTCAACTGCTTGAGAAAATTTTTCTTCAGTCATCTATTTGTGGCTTATCAACTTCTTGAACAAAATCTAAATTTCTTTTCATTAGGTCACATCCGGTCTCTATTTCGAAGCCTTCCAAAGCTTCCCACAGCATTCAGAATAAAGTTCTTTCCATAGGCGGCAAAGCATGGCAGCATGTGGCCCCTGCTACTTTTGATCCTAAAAATTCTCCCCATCACTCAGGCTGCAGCCCCACTGGCCATGACGCAAGTTCCCTCGAGACACTTACCTGCTCCCTCAATCTCTGCTCAAACGCTACCTAGTCAAAGGCTCTTCCATGTCCTCCAGGTCAAACTGGCAGCATCCCTCCCCGCCCCGCACAGGCTCTCTTGCCACTGCTTTATTTCCTTCACTGCGCCCCTCCATGTGTTACATGCTTGCCTGTGAGCGCTGGTCCCCTTGGGGATGCTCACGGTGTTTGGTGCACGGTGAGTCTCAGTAATGTCTGCTGAGGAACAGCCTGCCCTCCAGACCCTGCTTGTCCCTCCACTCCCTCATCTGCAACCTTTGCTCCATTCAAACAGAGCCTGCAGCTGCCTTGTTCAAGCTGTTCTGTTTAGATGCCTCTCTTCCCCTCCTGCTCACTACACACCATTTCTTCACTGGGTTAACCCCTTCTCGTCACTCAAGACCCAGGTCAGACATCAGCTCCCCTGGGAAACGTCCCTCTCTAACGCTCCAGGCCGGCCTAGTGCCTGCCTATGTTTCCAGGCAACCCATACGTCCTGCTCCACTGGCACCTTTTGGTGACTGCAGTTCTCTACAAAGAACTTCTACAACATGCTGAGCTCCCTGACACAGAAACTCACCCTCTCCCCGGGGCGCCCTGCACTGGACACGTCCTCACTTCACAGTGCGTCTGCAGAATGAATGAATGTGATGATTCCCAGGTGCTCACGGTGGGCACTTCTCAAACCCCTTTGGTCAGAGCTCTAAGGAAGCTCTGCTCTCTGTCCCCAGGCAGCCCTGACCTAGGCCCGCTGCGCGCCTACCTTGGGCAATCTCGAGCTGTCGCTTTGCATCCCCCAGTGCGGAAAACAGGTCCAGCTTGATTCTTGTCTCTGCACTCAGGCTGTTCTCCAGGTGCTGTGTTTTATCTTGCATGGCCGAGAGGGCTGACATTAACACCTCAGTGTCCTTCTCATTTTCCTTATACTTCCGAAGCTCCTATCAATATCATCAAAGCAGCAATGTTACAAGACAGTTTTGGCATCGATGTCTACAAATTAGCCTGAAATCACAAATAAAATCCCACCATTATTGACCTGGCCCCTAGAACACAGAATCCTGCTCCCTCATACACCTTACCCCTTAGAGGGAGTGCAAAATGTATTTATACAGTGACATGCACATACAAAAACACTGACTGTGTTGGGTTATTTCAAGGTAACAGTGGGCTCTGTCTCCAAATAAAACACTTTCTTAAGATCCTAACTCAGAACCACAAAGACCCTGCTGCCAGTTGCAAATGGTGCTATAATGCTCTAGTCAAATTAGCCAAAACTCTACTCTCAACTTAAAACTAAAAACTGTAAAAATCTTAAATTATTTTGACAGGGCATACTCCAAAATAAACCCACTTAAAACATCAGATGCACACACCCACACACTGATATTCTAATATTTTCATTTTAAGAAAAATTGAAAATTATAGTGAATTAAAAAATACTTAAAAGTTCAAGGACAAAAATAAAAATCACCCAAAATCCCAATGCTGCAAAAAACTGGATATATCTTCTTCTAGTCTTTTTTAAGCCTATGTATCTTCTAGCATAATTGAAATCACACTAAATGTATAATTTTTAAAAAACTTACATAATCTACAGTTCTTTGAAAATACAATTTTTATTGACTATATAATATTCCTAAATGTATCAGTTCAGTTAAATTGCTCAGTTGTGTCCGACTCTTTGCAACCCCATGGACTGCTGCACACCAGGCTTCCCTGTCCATCACCAACTCTTGGAGCTTGCTCAAACTCATATCCATCAAGTCAGTGATGCTGTCCAACCATCTCATCCTCTGTCATCCCCTTCTCCTGCCTTCAATCTTTCCCAGCATCATGGTCTTTTACAATGAGTTAGTTCTTTGTATCACGTGGCCAAAGTACTGGAGCTTCAGCTTCAGCATCAGTCCTTCCAATGAATACTCAGGACTGATTTCCTTTAGGATGGACTGGTTGGATCTTATTGCAGTCCAAGGGGCTCTCAAGAATCTTCTCCAACACCACAGTTCACAAGCATTAATTCTTCGGTGCTCAGCTTTCTTATGGTCCAACTATCACATCCATACATGATTACTGGAAAAACCATAGCTCTGACTAGACGGACCTTTATCAACAAAGTCATGTCTCTAGTTTTTAATATGCTGTCTACGTTGGTCATAGCTTTTCTTCCAAGGAGTAAGCATCTTTTAATTTCATGACTGTAGTCACCACCTGTAGTGATTTTGGAGCCCAAGAAAATAAAGTGTCACTGTTTCCATTGCTTTCCCATCTATGTGCCATGAAGTGATGGGACCAGATGCCATGATCTTAGTTTTCTGAATGTTGAGCTTTAAGCCAACTTTTTTACTCTCCTCTTTCACTTTCATCAAAAGGCTCTTCACCTCCTCTATGCTTTCTGCCATAAGGGTGGTGTCATCTGCATATCTGAGGTTATGGGTATTTCTCCCAGCAATCTTGATTTCAGCTTATGCTTCATCCAGCCTGGCATTTTGTAAGATGTACTCTGCATATAAGTTAAAAAGGCAGGGTGACAATACACAGCCTTGACATACTCCTTTCCCAATTTGAAACCAGTCCATTGTTCAATGTTTGGTTTTAACTGTTGCTTCCTGACCTGCATACAGATTTCTCAGGAGACAGGTAAGGTGATCTGGTATTCCTATCTCTTTAAGAATTTTCCACAGTTTGTTTTGATCCACAAACAACTGAGACTTGCCTGTTGAGTGTCCAGGAGTCTCTGGCAGAGGTGTGAGTCGACAGTGGCCTGCTGCAGGGTCAGGGGCACTGAATACAACAGTGCCTGCACAAGTCCTCTTGAAGGAGGCTGCCATTACCCCTGACCTCGGGCGTGGGGTAGCTCCTCTCGGCCACTCCTGCGCCGTCGCAGCCTGGCGCTCTCGGCCGCCGCCCCTGACCATCTGAGAGGTCCGTCGCAGACCCTGTGCTTCTGCGCAGTCTGTCGCAGCCCACGCCCGAGGTCAGGGGCGGCGGCCGAGAGGAGCTACCCCACGTCCAAGGAGCAGCGGCTGCACGGGCCCAGGAGGGCCGAGAGGAGCTACTCCACATTCAAGGTCAGGAGGGGCAGCCCTGAGGAGAGACCCCTCATCCAAGGTAAGGAGCGGCGGCTGCGCTTTGCTGGAGCAGCTGTGAAGAGACACTTCACATCCAGGGCGAGAGAAACCCGAGTAAGACGGGAGGTGTTGCGAGAGGGCATCAGAGGGCAGACACGCTGAAGCCGTGAGCACAGAAAACCGGCCAATCTGGTCACAGACCACAGCCGTGTCTCACTCAGTGAGGCTGAGCCATGCCGTGGGGGGCCACCCAGGACGGGCGGGTCATGCTGGAGAGCTCTGACAGAATGTGGCCCACTGGAGAAGGGAACGGCAAACCACTTCAGTATTCTTGCCTTGAGAACCCCATGAATAATATGAGAAGGCAAAATGATAGGATACTGAACAAGAACTCCCCAGGTCGGGAGGTGCCCAATATGCTACTGGAGACCCGTGAAGAAATAACTCCAGAAAGAATGAAGGGATGGAGCCTAAGCAAAAACAGTACCCAGTTGTGGATGTGACTGGTGATAGAAGCAAAGTCTGATGCTGTAAAGAGCAATATTGCACAGGAACCTGGAATGTTAGGTCCATCAGTTCAGTCAGTTGCTCAGTCATGTCCAACTCTTTGCGACCCCATGAATTGCAGCACGCCAGGCCTCCCTGTCCATCACCAACTCCTGGAGTCCACCCAAAGCCACGACCATCGAGTTGGTGATGCCATCCAGCCATCTCATCCTCTGTCGTCCCCTTCTCCTCCTGCCCCAATCCCTCCCAGCATCAGGGTCTTTTCCAATGAGTCAATTCTTCGCATGAGGTGGCCAAAGTATTGGAGTTTCAGTTTCAGCATCAGTCCTTCCAATGAACACCCATGACTGATCTCCTTTAGGATGGACTGGTTGGATCTCCTTGTAGTCCAAGGGACTCTCAAGAGTCTTTTCCAACACCACCATTCAAAAGCCTCAATTCTTCGGCCCTCAGCTTTCTTCACAGTCCAGCTCACATCCATACATGACCACTGGAAAAACCATAGCCTTGACTAGACTGGTGATAAAAACAAGCAAGGTCCAATGCTGTAAAGAGTGATATTGCATAGGAACCTGGAATGTTAGGTCCATGAATCAAGGCAAATTAGAAGTGGTCAAACAGGACATGGCAGGAGTGAATATCGACACTCTAGGAATCAGCGAACTAAAATGGACTGGAATGGGTGAATTTAACTCAGATGACCATTATATCTACTACTGTGGGCGGGAATCCCTTAGAAGAAATGGTGTAGCCATCATGGTCAACAAAAGAGTTCGAAACGCAGTACTTGGATGCAATCTCAAAAACGACAGAATGATCTCTGTTCGTTTCCAAGGCAAACCATTCAATATCATGGTAATCCAAGCCTATGCCCCAACCAGTAATGCTGAAGAAGCTGAAGTTGAGTGGTTCTATGAAGACCTACAAGACCTTTTAGAGCTAACACCCAAAAAAGATGTCCTTTTCATTATACGAGACTGGAATGCAAAAGTAGGAAGTCAAGAAACATCTGGAGTAACAGGCAAATTTGGCCTTGCGAGCACGGAATGAAGCAGGACAAAGGCTAACAGAGTTTTGCCAAGAGAATGCACTGGTCATAGCAAACACCCTCTTCCAACAACACAAGAGAAGACTCTACACATAGACATCACCAGAGGGTCAACAACGAAATCAGATTGATTATATTCTTTGCAGCCAAAGATGGAAAAGCTCTATACAGTCAGCAAAAATAAGACTGGGAGCTGACTGTGGCTCAGATCATGAACTCCTTATTGCAAAATTCGGACTGAACGATTATACAGTGGAAGTGACAAACAGATTCATTTGACAGACAGAGTGCCTTAAGAACTATGGATGGAGGTTCGTGACATTGTACAGGAGGCAGTGATCCAGATCATCCCTAAGAAAAAGAAATGCAAAAAGGCAAAATGGTTGTCCGAGGAGGACTTAACAAACAGTTGAGAAAAGAAGAGAAGCAAAAGGCAAGGGAGGAAAGGAAAGATACACCATCTGAATGCAGAGTTCCAAAGAAGAGCAAGAAGAGATGAGAAAGCCTTCCTCAGTGATCAGTGCAAAGAAATAGAGGAAAACAACAGAATGGGAAAGACTAGAGATCTCTTCAAGAAAATCAGAGATACCAAGGGAATATTTCATGCAAAGATAGGCACAATAAAGGACAGAAATGGCATGGCCCTAAATGTATATGTACCATAATTTATTAAATCTCCACTGTTAAGATTATTTTCAATTTTTTTGCATTTATTAATATATACCACTGTGATGTACATCTTTGTTTATCAATCATCAATGAGACTTTAAAATATTTACCTTAGGCTGGAGTCCGAGGAAATTATCTTTAGAAAATACGTGGTCTTTCTAGAACGTTATCCTTCCACCAGCAACATACAAGGCCTATTTCATTGCACCCTTACCCAGGCGGTTATCACTGTTTAAAAACTGTTTGCTAATTTCACAGAATATAAATGATACCTAATTTTAATCTGCCTTTGGTGATATATAAGGACACATTCTTACATTGTTATCAGTCATTTGTATTTTTTCCGTGAATTATTTATTCTTACCCTTTGCCTATCGTCTGTATATTTGAGATTTTTGAGCTTTTCTTAGCAATACTTATTAATAATTTACATATTGAGAATATTAATCCCTTATTTACAATATTTGTTGCAGTATCTGTATCTGCCCCAGGTGTTTTTTTTTCATTTTTTTTTTTCCACTTTGTGATTTAAAACAAAATGCGCTTTTTTTCCCTGTGGAATTTTGACTCTTTCTCTGGAACTTCTTTTTCTGTGGTATCAGATGAGCATCTAATTTTCTTTTTTCCCTGTTGTCTAGCTGTTCCACAGCCTTTCACTGATTAACCCTTGCTGTTTTATCCATTTCTGATGCCATCTTTACTGCACACTTTAGGCTTTGTCTCTGGGTCATCTATCTGCCACTGATTTCTTATGGATCTCCTATAACTCAAATTACTGTAACTTTACAACTTAAGACATTAGTTTTAAATGTTCCTTTAAAGACCCAACATCAAATACTTCGTCAAGGTATACACAATCCCCAGACTGGCACTGTCCAAAGAACCGGCAGTTTTCCACTCCATGCACATGCAGTTTTCCTCCACTCCATGCGTCGAGTGGCCATCTGTGAGGCTCAGAGCCATCCAGAATGGTCAATTCCCTGGCAATGGATACAGAGTTAGGGCTAAGAAGAGGTATATCAGTTCCAAAGCACACTAATTTGGCCTGTAACCTGAAAAAGTGAAACGAATCTGTGGTAAACCAAATTCTGATATAAAACATGTCAGGGATCAATATTTCTGGCCTTAGAATCCAGTTAAATTAAATATAGCTTGAATGAGCTGCACAAGCTGAGAGCTTCTTTTGGTCACATGGAGATTTTCAAACGCAGTGGGGTCTGGCTTGTATTAGCAGGGACCATCTCCTCATGGCAGCACAGAGCACAAATCTAACACAGAAAAGGGACTCGAGAAGTGCGATGAAGTCAGCTGTTCCTCCCTTACCTGAACTTTCAGCTCTAACTCTCTGATCTGGTCTTCTTTAACCTTCATGTCCATTGTGAGCTTCTTGCCCTCTGCTTCTAATTCTCTGATCCGATTCCGTAAGGTTTCGGTGCACTCTCCCCTTTTAAAAAAGAGAAAGGAAAAAGAATTCAGACAAGTGTAGGTTTTATCATATTTTAGGACCGATATTTTTCTTGTACTCACAGAATCAGATTTCAGCTTTTGGCTCAGTCTGCTCATTCTCTCTGTACTTTTATAATTTCAAAAATGATCTAAAATGATTACTAACTGGTTGTCTTAGATAAGCCAGGTTCCAAGCTAGTCCTTTTACTCATACTGCCTTCTTTACTGGAGTTGGGTTTATTATTCCATTTTCCAGAGAAGAAAACTGATGCTATTTAGATATAATATAATACTGAAAAAGTGAATATAGTCCCACGGTTCCCAACTTGTAGGTCACAGAACGGGTAAGAACTGAGGTTTTTCCACTTTGCCAATCCACCAAGCTTCCCATCAGGTAACATGACCTGAGACAATGCACACAAGCTGACCAAGACAGAACCAGATGTGTTCTGTCTCCAGCAGAGGGCAGTGAGCTAAAAACATTTTCACTTTTGAGGGGCTATGCACTGCAAACATCACCTTTCTTTAGGCTTGATATTTTGACAAGCCTGAAGTAAATAGAAAGAGAAGGGAGCAGCATTAGACTTGCTTCTCAGGGCTATAACAAGGAAAAACAAAAAGATGATGATAACAGCAAGTTCAAAGCTGATGAACTGTTTAGGTTTCAGAAATAGCCTGGTGGAGAAAGTAGGTATCCTTTGCCCACAAAAAGGAAGGTCCAGAGAGAGACTTAAGGTTTGAGATTTATTTAAAAATAAAAACAGCCTCTACACGAATGAGGGCTTTCCTGGTGGCTCAGCTGGTAAAGAATCTGCCTGCAATGTGGGAGACCTGGGTTCGATCCCTGGGTTGGGAAGATCCCCTGGAGAAGGGAAAGGCTACCCACTCCAGTATTCTGGCCTGGAGAATTCCATGGACTGTATAGTCCACAGGGTTGCAAAGGGTCAGACACGACTGAGCGACTTTCACTTCACTACATGAATGATGGCAAACAAGAACCATCCAAGGGAAGGAGAGCAAAGGCAATAAGTTAACTGAAAGCAGAAGAGATTAAGGGTAGAGACTGAAACCAACGTACTGATTCTCAGGCATAAGAGACACTAAACAATATGGTTAAGAAACTATCATATCCACCTCAGGGTTTTTTTTTTTTTTTTAAAGAGTAACTGTTAGATGAACTAAGGAGAGCACAAACCACACCAGGAAAATCTCCTGCAATGCAATGCAATGCAAGTGCTTCAGAAATGCTTACAAGTCTTTAAATGATGGACAAACAAAACTAGTCACATCCTAGGCAAGTTAGTAAAGGGTCTTATGAATTTGTAAAGATGCTGATGGGCCAAGTCAGCTCAGCCAGCTGCAGTCCAGAGTCTGCTGGGGTAAGGCAGGATCACACAAGAGAAAGACTTCTCCATCCCACTGATACTTCCTAAAAGATGAAATGATGGTTTACCAAGTATTCTACAAAGGCTAGCACTAAAAAGAGGGCTATTAATGTGTCAAATACAAAAGAGCAAAAAGTAGAGCTACATAACATAGACACAAATTTGGGGATAGAAATTTAAATGAAATAATAATTTACCCTCATGCTGCATCTGTAAACCCATAACTGACCCTCACCATGTAGAAGAACTTCACCAGTGGAAAAAATGAAAAAAAAGTGAAAAAGTGAAGTAGAAGCTAAAGAGAGACAGAGAAGGAGAAAAAAAGGCTCTTAACTCTTTCTCCATCTTTTTTAAGGTCATTTGACAGTTTGCTGATGATGTCCAACAAAGACATAAGCAGTCAGGACACAGTGCCTGGGGAACTGAGATTTTTATCTTTCTTGCATTTTAAGATAAAAACTCTAGAAACACACAACTTAAGAGAGTAATGACAGTTCTGCAAGGGAACAAAACTCCAGATAGGCTCTCTCAAAGTATATAGTAATTATCAGTCTTACAGAAAGTGACTGGAACCCCTTTTTGAGCAGCATTTTGTGATTCCCTCGTCCTGCTTTACAGAGGAGGTCACTGAGGGATGAAGTGGTCATGAGAGCTTGAGCTTGCACAGACAAGTTTAAACCAGTTAACATAACAGTAATTAAAAGCCATCCATCCTTGCACGATTGTGTACCTCCAGACCTGCCCCAGGCATCAGATCCCTATTCTCAGTCCAAGGAACTCCGCGCAGCTGGCGTGGACCTACCTCGACGCAGCAGCAAATGCGACCGCCCGGGCAGCAGTAGCTTCTTCTAGCTTCTTCCTTTTTTTCTCCTCCATTAACTGCTTTTCTACAAAACTTCGGGCTTCCTGCTCAGCTTTTAGCTTTTTCTCCAACTGGCTGATATTCTGCTTATCTTTCTGCTTCATTTGCACAGCATTATGTAATCTATATGGAAATAATTGTCATACAGTTTTACAATTAGAAGTGTTCACCATGAACCCTGGAAAGACATGGCTTCTCTTTATCATTTTAAGGCCAAACAGGAGATTTGAATAGCAAATCATACATGTCAACTCCCAGAGGGCCCAGGGAAAATACACTGTCATTATTATTTAACGATTCCTAAGAGCAAATAAACAAGCTAATTTACAAGATACAGAACTGGACCTAACCTCTGCTTTACTGGGCTTTCCTGGTGGCTCAGACAGTAAAGAATTCGCCTGCAATGCAGGAGACCTGGGTTGGGAAGATCCCCTGGAGGAGGGAACGGCTACCCACTTCAGTATTCTGGCCTGGAGAATTCCCCATGGATACAGTCCATGGAGTCGCAACCAGCTGGACATGACTGAGCGACTTTCACTTCACTTCTGCAAGTGATCTACAGAAGGTAATCCAAAAAACAGGATAAAACAAGTTTCTGAGAGAGGAAAAGATAACTGGAGAACTCATTCTACTGCCTCATACAACTTCAGTCTGAGACCAAGAAGAGCAGATGGAACCAGCCCCACTGAAACGGAGGGAAAGGGTGGGAGGGGAAGGTCTTTATTTGCTTGAATACAATATGCTACAGCCTACTGCAGCCTTTCCTTTCCAGCTGGGAGATGTTTTCTCCGAGTATCCCAAAATAGAAACTCGTAGTTAGAATCACAGGATGCTTAATTTCAGATAGAAATTTCAGCCAGTCTCTGCCTTGCTACTACTACTCCTAGCTTTATGTATCAATACAAGGTGAGTTTTTCTCACTGTATCAATATATTAACAATGCTACAGCCATCACACACATACATGGGTCAGAAACAATGGAAAGTCTATTTGTCTATGATACTCTAGCTTTTGAGCTACATTCCCTGAAAATGAGGAAGGAATGATCTTTCAAGGGAAAGCTCAGACAGCTCAGCACCTACAGTAAGCAATCACTACCCCAGACACCCAATGACTAGAGATTAAAAAAAAAAAAAAAGATAGACCCACATTGAGTCAAGAAGTAATTCCAGAATGAATTAATGGAAAGCATAAAAGAAGAGCAGGCTTTTGGTATGCCTCTTCAAATAAACTCAAAGTTCAATGCCACTTTTAGTTCTAGAAATCAAAGTACAGAGAGTCTAATCCTCTGGAAACTGTCACTCAAAGGAGTAAGAGCTTCAAACTGTGGCAGAAATACTTCTGGTCAATTTTACTCAAATTGTCACAAAAGCTCAATGACTATTTTAAACTAAGAGCAGAAGTTATTAAATGAGAGAAGACAAATAGTATTATTAAACTGTTTTGTTAACATTAAATGTTTTTATAGATTTTGTAACATTGAATATCTCATACTAAACTAAATACTTTAAACATTTTATTTTTAAAAATCCCTCTGCTAGATTCTTTTGTCATCATGAACCTTGTACTCCAATCCCCGAAAACAAAAGTGATACAGGCTGCTTGGCTCACTGCCAAAGGCCCACAAGGTGCACGTACTTGTTCTGCAGCAGCTCATTCTCCTGCCGGAGCTGGCCCATTTCTGAGCGGATCCCTCGCTCGGTGCTTGAGAGAGAACTGATCTGACTGCGGAGCTCCTGTTCCACTTGCCTGCTGGCCTGCAGGTCAGCCTTTAACTTTTTAATGTCTTGTTCCAGCCTAGGAGAAGGAAAAGAGCAGCATTTTCATCACTGAGTGGGCACCCCTGGGGCTCTGTGGGAGACCCTGGCTGAAACCCTTGAGGGCTGGCTGGACGGCGGAGCACCCCGCCATCACTGCAACTCCCGTCCACAATCAGCCTTTGAATGAGTGCTTCGGCCTGGGTCCCCACGCCTTCCCACCAGAGGGTACCTTTTGCTTCTCCTCAAACATTTGTGAACACCGACAGGTGAAGATGGTGACTTGTATCTGAGCTGCTAATAAAGGAAGAGGGGAAGGCAGAGAGAGGGTAGGCTGAAGGGGAAGGTCCCCTCCCCACTGGTGAATTTCCCATGCTCCTCATCACGAGAGAGATGCTCTTAACAACCAGCGCAGGACCCACCTGCTTTGAGACATCCTGACAGGTCAGAATCTACTCTCTGAGATTCCCTCTCACCTTGGGCCAAAAAGACAAGTGTCTGAGACAACCTCCTGTAACCGCTATCACCCTTGCTAAATGATGCTCACACTTGAGGTGACTGTGACAGAAGAGCTCATTAGATTCAACAACAATGAAAAAAGGAACATATTACATGATCTACGAATCGTAAGAAAACTCCATCTGTGAAATGAAGCTTATCTTTTCAACTCCTCACTCCTGTTTCATCTATTTTCTTTAAAACAGTCATAGTTTCATTTTAAGTGATATGCATTGGGGAACTATTATGTGCACATGCAGGACTGAAAAGGGTCAACAAGAAGTATAATGTCAAGCCCCTTTCTTCATGAGAGGACTTTTATGTTTTCACTAGAGGCCAATAAACAGACATCTGAAATGATTAAACCATAATACAGGGAGGCCACGGTTAAATACATGCCAAAAGGAATATAATATTTAATGAGAACTTATGTGTCAGGTGCTGTCCTGTAGATTTTAATGGCACAAATTCATTTAATCTGTACAACTATGAGGTAAGCTGAATAACCTTGGCAATTATTAGTATATTTTTAAAGATGAAGAACCCTAGATTCAGAAAAGTCTTCAGCCTAAGGTCACATAGGCAACCTAGCTTCACAGTCCACTCTCTTCTCCCACTAGCCAAACTGTGGCTCTATCAGCCATAGCACGGTGTGGGGAGAAGTACCGCATGAGTTCTGAGCAGAGAAGATGGGAAATGAGCTGGGCCTTGAAGGTTGGGCAGGATCTGCAGAAGCAGAAGGGAGGACGAGGCATTCTAAATAAGTGGAAGCACGCTCAAAAGCACCAATAGCCACAGATATCTGGGGACAGAGCAATCAGTCTGGCCTCTGAGGAAGGGATACACTCTGGGAATAGAGGGAGAAAGGATAGAAGGGGTTTGGAGATTGGACTGTGGAGACTGGCACTGAAGGTCAGGCCAAGGATGAGTGCCAGGGGAGACTCAGAAGACGCCTGTTTCTACAAACTTACAGGTAGGCAGATGTCAGTTTGCTCTGACAAGACTCGTGCACTTCACTAATCCAACATAGCAACAGAACCGAGATTTTGGGAGGGCAATGGTGATTGCTCCTTAGAACTGTCAGTTCCACAGGGTAGGTCCTTATATGTTTCATGAAACACTAAATCCCCAGGGCCCATCAATCACTGTGATCAACACCTACTAAATACATGTATCTGTTGCTGGGTATCCCTTAGAGAACCAAACAGCAGCTTTATTTACTTGTCTCCCTTCAGCCACCTGAAACAAAACCTCAAAATCAAAAAGTCACTAACATCTATTGTTATCTCCAGGCACAGGAGCCGGGAGAGCACAGACTAGAGACCTGGTGTTCCAGAGACACTGCCGGTCTTCTGACACAGCTCGGTCCCCAGGGAAGGGTCACCAACAGACATCACGCCACACTTTCCCTATTGCCAGCATTATTCCAGTTGAATGTACTCCCGAAATGGCTGTAAGCAATCACCAACTGGCATTTATACCATCCCCACACCATCCCTCGTTCACCCAAAGTAACCCAAGGGATATTTTCCAAAATAGGTCGATGCTGTCAGCTTACCCCCATTAAGAAGTCTGGGTGAGAAACGTGTTAGGTAATTTATGTTTTTGAGAAGTCAGTTTCACTGCCTGAGGAATAGTACATTTTTAGTCAAAAAAGGATGAGCTTTAAGAAGAGACTAGGGACTTAGCATGGTTTAGAAATGGGATAGGGGATCAGGATTCTAGACTCAGCTATGGTGCCAACTCTGTGACCCTGAGCAAGGCATGCAACCTTTAAGGACTCAGTTTCTCCATTTGAGGCAAGTGATCTCTAAAGCTCCTCTCAACTTGGTCTAGGATTTCTAGGCCTGACACAGTGCTCCTTCAGATCAGCAACCTAAGCTGTATCTTATGTAGGGCCCAGGAATCAGGTTCCACACAGCCTGTTGCTGAGGCAAAGCACGTGCGGCGGTTGGGAACGAGAGGAACACTAAATACACAAAGGCTCTGAGTGCGCGTACGCCTGTGCACTCAGTTCTGTCTGACTCTTCCCGACCCCACAGACTGTAGACCGCCAGGCTCATCTATTCTTGGAGTTTTCCAGACAAGAACACTGGAGTGGGTTGCCATTTTCTCCTGCACACGATTTTCCTGACCCAGGGATCGAACCCATGTCTCTTGTGTCTCCTGCACTGGCAGGCATATTCCTTGCCACTGCACCACCTGGGAAGCCCCCAACATAAATGTCAGATGTCGATAATTTTGAAGTTACTACTTTTTTGCAGTTTTTAATCTACAAAAGCCAAACTTTCCTACCATGAACAAAGAATAACAATATTCTGAATGAAACTTTCAGAGTTCCTTGAAAAAGGTAAAAAAAAAAAACAAGTGAGTTAGTGAAGTTATGAGAGCAAAACATGAAGAAACACCAAGAGTGTAACTTCTGAAGATCACAGAACGCTAAAGAATATCTTCCGTGTGGAGAGCTATGAAAATTTTGTCAAAGACATATAGCAGTACAACACAAGAGATAAAGTGACATGGTTACAAGGGTATGTTTACTTCGTGAAAATTCATAAGCAGTACAATTAAGATTTGTGCATTTTTGTGGATGTGTGTTATACTTCAATAAAAGACTTACTTTCAAAAATTAAATAACTTAAGTTCACAAGGTATAGAATTAAAATGTTTCTGGATTTTCATAACTGCTGAAATTAGTTCTGTAAAACTATGAATGACTGTTTTCCAAATATGTTATTTAACACCAGCATTCCCCAGTTTAAGAAATACCGGTCTATAGGAAACTATAACAACATGTAAGATAACTTAATGTGCTAAATAGTAAATTCTCAGTAATTTTTTAAATTTATGAGGGGAAAATTTTCATTGTCTCTCTGCAGGAAGCATTAATTTAATGTTGAACATTCACTATATTTTAAATCTTTACTGAGGTAGGTGGTAAAATGATTTATAATCCCTTACTGGATTTATGTTTTTATTGGAAAAGTGATACCCAGTCAGAATAAAAAACTACATACAACAGAAAAGAATAAAAATGTGAATAACTCATAATTCTTCCATCCAGACAGAACCACTATTTGCATTTGGTTTACTTCATTTCTGTATGTCTCTCTTTTCTTTCTCTTTCTTAACACACATAAATATTATATTGCTGAGAGAATACCACATATATAGTTTATTTATCTTAAGCACCTTTCCACACTATTAGAAACTTTTCACAAACAATTGCTACATAATATTACATTGCACAGATATACTGTACAATCCTACTTTTAAAAATATACCTCAATCCTTGCATATGCTCAATAAAAAATGTAAACATGAGTTTTTAAAGAATTATGTGCATTAGTAAATTGAACTGAATTGAGCCAGTCAAATGCCAGGGGCATTTATTAGAAAGATAACTACCTGTTGTAATGGTATATTTAACCCTTTTGTGTTGAAGATCAGTACTTAGTAGGCAAAATGCAGATATATAATTTATGGGTGTGAAGCACCAATAAGTACTAATAAAATGGTGTTAAAAGGTTAATGCAAAATCTTCAAATGTATTCATGGGACTGTATTAAAATGTCAATACCTGCAACAACTAAATCTGAAGCAAGTGGTCAGGAAGAAAATGAGACAAAAGTAATAGTTTATTAACGTTAAAACTAATTTCAGTAAATAGGAATCAAAAGAAAGGAGGATGCATGCCCTGCAGCCCACGACCACGACTGCGGAAGCGCACACTCTGGAGTCTGAGCTCAGCGGCGGAGGCCAGCGCAGTGAGTGCTGAGAGCAGCCCCCACTCGCCGCAACTAGAGAAAGCCTGCGCGCAGCAACGAAGACCCAGCGCAGCCAAAGATAAATAAATGTTTGAAAAAAAAGGAGGAAAAAACATTCATCTCCAAGCTTAAACCCATTTATCAGAGCTAAATCCTATTCTCCTCCCTACACAGCGGAAGATTAAGGGGATAAAAGAGAACTTTCCTCCAGCAGAGCTACAAACTCATCCAAAAAAGAGAAATAAAGGATCACACAGATCTTAACCACACTTTGGAAAGGCTTGAGTGAGTGAAGTCACTCAGTCGTGTCCGACTCTTTGTGACCCCGTGGACACTAGCCTGCACCAGGTTCCTCTGTCCATGGGATTTTCTAGGCAAGAGCACTGGAGTGGGTTGTTTAGGTAGCGAATAAATGCACTCCCTCCTTGCCCAACTCCTGTGGCACTAGTCACCCTTACAGAGGCTGCCCAAGAGGGCTGCCACTTGGGATAGAGACAGGGCACACGGCAAAGCTGGAGTCTGCGTGTTCAATAAATACATCCACTTGTGCCGCATCGGACAAGCCAGGGGTCTAACCAACTCAAAACATTACTTATGAGGTCCAGGTACCTTGCTGAGCCAGTTTATTCATAAATTTAAACCTAACTTCTAAACTCACTGAAGCTACCTCTGAACTTCAGCACACCACCTAACTCACACGAAAGGTGGGGCCCCTGGGGCAGCCCTTCCAATTACCGGCCCAGCGGACCTAAGGGCAACACCGACATGCCAAACC